TATGTCTGTGGATAGTTTTGACAGAAGCTTTGTGTGCAGAGAAGGTGGTGAATCCGTACTGAGAGTGTTTATTTCAGTAATAAGAAATGCTGCCCCTTCCATGGTGGAAGCAGTCCAATGTATTCAACCTGACTGATCACCTTGAGGAATGATGCCATATCACTGTTGATCTCTGCTGCTGGAAGATTGGAAACTCTGCCAATTGCAGATTTGGTGAGTAGAATTCCATATTTCTTAGGCTGTATGATCTCCATCCCTCCAATCATGGCCACTTTGTTCATGAGCCCACTGGGCAATGATAGAGGTGGCCAAGGAATGAAGATGACTGATATCCACAGAATGAGTCACCTTATCCACTTGATAATTAAAATCCTCCTCTGCTAGGATAATATTTTTGGCAGGAGCTCATGAGGGACACAGATAGCTTCACATTTTGTGCCCATTCATAGATGTTTAACCACACATCACTTCCTCAGATTTCCTTGTCTCCAGTTTTTAAATCATATTCCTTCCAAGTCCCTGGTCATTCAGCCAAAGCATTGAACAAAGCTCATGAGTTGGTATATACCCACATGTCTGGCCATTTCTCTTTCCAAGGAAAGGGAATAATTACAGGTACTTCTTGAACTTCTGTCCACTGGGAATATTTCCCTTCACCTCCTTCAAGGATGTTGCAGAAAGGGACTGTGGGGTTGCACCTGTTCACTTTTGTTGGTGCCTGCATACTAAGCCTTCAAAATGCTTCATTTGCAAACCAGGTCTGAGTCTTCTCTTCTTGTCAACTAATAGTAGGGAACACCCCATGAGACCATAGATTGAGGATGGGAGAGAGAAGGGAGGGTAGCAGGAATGGGTGTCATGGGAATTTGGATCATGTAACCAACTCATGCTTTCAGAGCTAAGGCCTGATCGCGTATCTGTCCCTTCCATTTGATGATGGAGAGCCATTGTACCCATCTGACTTTATGGCTTGATTGCTGTCTTACTCTGTTTTTAGCTGCTATAACCAAATCCCAGAGGCTGGGTAATGTTGGAGGCTGGGCAGTCCAAGGTCAAGAGGCTGCATATGGTGAGGGCTTTCTTGCTGGTGAAGACTCCCTGCAGAGTTCTGAGTCAGTACAGGCCATTGCATGGCAAGAGTATATCCAAGGGACAGAGACAAAGTGCTTTCAATAACAGACCCACTCCTAATATTTTATTATATTAAGTTATTACTCATTATTCTGTGACAGAATCAGTCCATTCATGATGGCAGAGCCCTCATGACCTAAATCACCTCTTAAAGACCCCACATGGTCCCATCTTTTATTGTCTCACATAGAAACTAAATTTCACAGGAGTTTTTAAAAACTTTTTATTTCAGAATAAAACAAAAATTGTGGAGTAGTACAGAAAGTTCCCTTACATCCCACACCTAGCTTCCCCTGTTGTCAACATCTTATACTTTTGGCACAATCTATAAACCACACTACCTTCCCCTATTATTATTTTATTTTATTTTTGATAGGCAGAGTGGACAGTGAGAGAGAGAGAGAGACAGAGAGAAAGGTCTTCCTTTGCCGTTGGTTCACCCCTCAATGGCCGCTGCGGCCAGCACACTGCGCTGATCCGAAGCCAGGAGCCAGGTGCTTCTCCTGGTCTCCCATGGGGTGCAGGGCCCAAGGACTTGGGCCATCCTCCACTGCACTCCCGGGCCACAGCAGAGAGCTGGACTGGAAGAGGAGCAACCGGGACAGAATCCGGCGCCCTGACCGGAACTAGAACCCAGGGTGCGGGTGCTGCAGGTGGAGGATTAGCCTATTGAGCTGCGGCGCCGGCCCCCCTATTATTAACATCTTATATTAGTATAATATATTTGTCACAACTAGTGAACCATACCCAGCTTCCTCTATTTTTGTTAAATCCAAGCTCCCTCTTACCTCTTCCAACCTCTTATAATGACCATCTGTGAGAGCACGTGGTATTTGCCTTTCTGTTTGTAACTAATTTTACTTAACATGATGGCCTTTAGTTTCATCCATTTTGGAGCAAATGACAGAGTTTCTTTTTTTTTTATGGCTGAATCATATTCCATTGTGTACATATACCACATTCTTTTTATCCATTCATCTGATGATGGACATCTTGGTTAATTCCATATCTTGGCTATTATGAACAGTACTGCAATAAGCATAGTGAGCAGGTATCTCTTTTGATAACAATAATTTGATATCTTTTGTATATATACCCAGTAGTGGGATTGCTAGATAACATGATGTTTCTGCTTCTATTTTTTTAAAGAAATTTCCATACTGTTTTTTCATAGTGACTGTACTAATTTATATTCCCACCAACTGTATAGGTTCTCCCTTCTCCAAATTCTTGCCAGAAATTGTTACTTTCTTTTTGATAATAACCATTCTAACAGGGATATCTTATTGTGGTTTTGACTTTAATTTCCGTGATACTTTGCCCATATCTTAATTTAATTGATTGATTCTTTTGTCATTTTTGAGTTTTTGTTCCTGATACATTCTGGATAGTAATACTTGTTGAATAAGTATTTTCTGTTGTTCTCTCAGATGTTCGTTCCTTCACTATTTGTTTTCGTTTGTGTGCAGAAGATTCTGAGTTTAGTATAATTCCATTTGCATAGTTTTGCCTTTGTTGACTACACTTTTGTTGTCTTACCCAAAAAATCATTTCCTACATCAGTGTCTTAAAGTATTTCCTCTAAGGCTTCTTCTAGAAATTTCATAGTTTCAAGTCTTAAATTTAGGTCTTTGGTCCACCTTGAGTTGACTTTTGTATATAGTGAGAAGTAGGGCTTTAATTTCATTCTTCTACATATATATATATTCCAGTTTTGCCAGCGCAATTTATTGAAAAAACTATTCTTTCTCCAGTATATGTTCTTGGCACCTTTGTCAAAAATCAGTTGGCCGTTATCTATGTGGATTAGTTTCTGGGCTCTCTCTTCTGTTCCACTGATCTATGTATTAGAGCAGGTACTTATTATATGGTGGTGATGGTTGCTGTGCCTGCCGCAAGTATAATTGATGTTTAATAGAGGTTACTTGTGGGGAGCAACTCGGACTAGACTAAGTTACTGGAATTAAGACTTATTCTATGCATCTGCTTTCCCACAATATGGCGCTGAGAAGGGAAACAGCTTCTACACAGCTGCCTCCAGTTCAACCAATAAACTGTAGGACCTGCTCCTGATTGGAGGAGAGCAGCGTACTCGGTGTGTGGGTAGTAGAGTTGGGATTGGTGGAAGAGGACTATAAAGGAGGAGAGAGACGGCATGCACGAGGAACATCTAAGGGGAACATCTACCTGAAGGAACACCTGTGCAGCCCCCGAGAGAGCCGGCCGGCGGTGTGCTGCTCCCCTGCGGAAGTGGGGAAAGTGGCCAGGGGGAACCGCCCTTCCACGGAGGTGGAAGGGACAATAGCCAACCCGGGAAGAACCAGCAGCAAACCCGGGGAGGGCCGAGCAGACGAAAGAACAGCGCAGGGTCCTGTGTCGTTCCTCCACGAAGACGGGGAGCGACAGTTACTGTTAATTGATTCACTGGAAAGGAAGGCGGGCCGTTCCTCTGATTTCGCTAACCAAGGAGACAGGGAAGACAAACATAATTAGGAAGGTGAAAAGGAGGCAGAGAAGGAGGCATGGGGAGCTGGGAGAGAAGGCAGGAATGATGTCAATATTCACAAAAGCGATGGAAACAATGACCATTTTCTTGGAAGGACAAGGAGGTGTGGGCCATTGAACACCATGCAGTCATTTCTTCCTAGCCACAGTTACAGGGTTTCACAGCTGGAAAGGGGAACGTGGAGATTACAGACCCACCTCCTCACCACTCCACCGAAGAAAGTGCTAGAGATGGGGACAGAATTAGTTTCTGGGGATAGACATTGCTTGCTACATTTTACCATGAATTGAGCCAATTTATCTCCATGGAAACCTTTGAAGATTGTGAAAGTACAGATGTGGGAAGGAAAGCAACGCTCTGACTGTGATGTATTTTCTCTCTGCTTCTTACTCCAATCCATCAGCTTCTCCTCCCTTGGATTTCCTCTCCTCCATTCCTTCTCTCCCTTCTTTTCATGATTTTCATGCCTAATGACCTGTCCTAATGGAGAAAACTGAGGTCACTAGATCTTCAAAATGGATCTAGACCTCCACAGCTCAGCATGCCCCCCACTCACTATCCCCTTAGCAATTTGCAGGTTTCTGGTGACTAACGCTTAGAACTGACTCTGGGCACCAGGGTTCCCACTTTCATCAACAGGAAATACTTCCTTTACTTCTTTGACTAGCCAGAAACCACTATGAAAACACAATCTCAAATTGCCACCACGTTTTCTGGGTCTTTAGCTCTTTTCTGAATTTCTTTGTAAGAGGTTTCTCTTTCTTTTCTTTCAGATTTATATATTTAATTGAAAGGCAGAGTAACAGGGAGAGGGAAATGGAGATTCTTTCATACACTGCTTCACTCCCCAAATGGCCACGAGGGTCAGGAGCCTGTAATTTCATCTGGTCTCCTACATGGGTAGCAGGGGTCCAAGCATTCAGGTCATCTGCTGCTGCTTTCCCAGGCGCATTCCCAAGGAGCTGGATCAGAAACACAGCAGCCAGGACTCCAACCTGAGCTCATATAGGATGCCAGCCTCCCAGGCAGCAGCTTAACCCCAGCCTTGTGAAAGGTTTCTATGAAAATGGTTGCTCTACATAACACAAGTGGAGGAGCAAGGAGCCCCTTGCAAATCTGTTGCAGGTGGATTAACTTCACCTCTTAGCGGCTCCCCACAACTGTTTTAACAGAAAACATTCGTAAACGTCCCATCTCCCCTGGGTGGAGTGGCTCCTCCTAGAAATTGGAAGCGAGGCTGTTTACATATGGAAGAAGAAAGAGCTAGGTGAGAATCCTGGCTTTGGCTCAGAACGTGTGGGTGGTCCTATCACTGTCGCCGATATCCAGGGTCCTCCTGTTGTAGAGTGGACTGCATGACAACATGACCCAATCGGCGTTTGCACGGGCTTTGCCCGATGAGATTAGTCTAGCGCTGCCTGCCAGGTATCTGGGTCCACAAAAGAAGCCACCGGATAGTGCCTCCGCCAGACAGGCCTGCTGAGAAGCTGTTCCCGGAGCTGCCAGGGAAGAGGGCGGGCTGGGAGGCTGCCCCGGAGCCTTTCCAGAAGGAAGCGCTGGCGTGCCAGAGAGGCGACAGACGGGGCGGGGGTGCACAGCAGCCGCCTCACAAAGGGAAAATCGCACACGGCGCAGACCTGAGGGCGCACACGCTAGCCCTGGCTCCCAGCGCCCGGCTGCCGGCTGGAGGCTGACAGCTGCGGGCGACACCCTCCTCGGGAAAACACCCTGCGGGGCCTCACACAGCCTTCTCCGGGACCTGGCAGGAAGGCTGTGTCTGTCCAGTCAGGCCCCTCGCGCCTAGGCTACTCTGCAGACCCAGAGCGGGGAAGGAGGAGGAGGGACTGAGGCCGGAAAGCCAGCGGCTGGGATTCCAACCCCAGTGCTAAAGGGAGCGTCCGCGTCGGGTCTTCTCTTCCCCATTCCGGGGCAGGAGTGCGGGCTCCCAGCAGAGGACCTGGTGCTGCGTGCCGGTCCCGGAACCCGGCGGTGCTTAGGCGCGCACGCGCGCTTCACCTGGCGCCGTGGGCGCCGCAGGCAGGCGCGCGCGGAGCGGTGGGCGCCGAGGCGGGCGTGTGGTGGGCGGTGCGGAAGAGCCGGGGCCAGGCGCACGCAGAAGCCGCGCCTCCCCAGCGCCAGCGGAGCATCCTTCCTCCTGACCATCCCTGGAGGCGGCGCCCGAGACCCGACAGCCCGGGACCGCACGTCCAGAATCCCCGGTGCGCCCCTCGCGTTCCTCACGGAACCGCCACCGCCCTCTCTAAATGACGGCCGTGGCCTTTGGGAAGCCGCCGCGCCCAGTGCTCACGGTCAGCACCTGCCGGGCGTGGCCGCGAGCTCGGGCCGGCCCCAGGACCGCTGGCCTCGGCTGCGAGTGACCCTTGCGCCTGACGACCGCGAGGACCAGTACGAGGGCAGAGCATCCTCGATTGGAGATGCCGTGACAGAATCATCCACAGCCGCGGTGGAAACAGGGTTTTTTTGGCTTTGTTTTGGTAACAAGGAGTGTTTTCTCGGTGAAATGCTGTATTCGTTAAAAGAAGAAATGGCCCCCCAGGAGCTCACCCGGCGACTGGCCACCGTGATCACTCATGTCGGTAAATGAAGCTCCCCTCCCCCTTGCGTTTTATGAATGGAGGGTGGGGGCGTAGTCTCTGGGCTCCTCCGGCCCCTGCCCTCACCGGCAGCTCGGGGGCGGCGCCCTCCCTGGGAAGGCCGCGCTGCCTCTTGTCCTGCGTGGGGCGCCGGTAGCAGGCACCTGGCAGGGCCGGAGGGGCTGCGTGCGAGGCAGGTGGTTGGCAAGTCTGATGAGCCCCACGCCGAGGGCTGCCGGAGAGCGGGAATCAGCTACCCCCTTCCAGCGGCGGGGGTGTAGTTTATTAGATAATGAAATAGAAGGCGCCCAAGAGTTAACATACGCCAGTGCTTTCCAGCAGAAACACTGCCAGAGCCCTGAAGGCTGTGACTCGGTGCAGGGAGATGCTGGTTACATAGCAGGGCTATGTGGTCAGCCCCCCACCCCCTGGACTGTTACTGTGCTCCTGGAGCCCCCCCCCCCCCCCCAGCGCTGGTGTCCCCGCAGACCAGAGGAGACTGGGCCATTTGAGTCCTCAGCCGTGTGCAAAAAGGGGGAGCAAAACACACACCTGAAGTCAGGGTTGCGTTGGAAGGACGGGCCCTATGTCCTAAAGGAAAGAGGACATCCAGACAGCCACCAGTTAATTCTTTCTAAGCATTTTCTTCCCCTACTTCCCCCTCCCCTGGGCCTCGCCCATTTATAAAGACTCAAAATGTTGTGGCGACTGGAAGTATCTGGATGATTTTCTCTGTTGCTGACTCCCCCTGAGACCCTTCCATGAATGCATGGAAGTGTTTACTGATAAAAGCCAGGAGGAAGCATTTGCCTCGGTTTTCTATACATTTGTTTAAACCGCCTGATTGGTAATTATGTGTTAAATGTTTCTTCAAGGAGTGAGCCACTGTTGCTCTTTGCCTGCCTTAGTCCCGTGTGTTTGCTGCAATCGCAAAGCACATCTCAGATGCACTTGTGGAGATGCTGGGGGACCCAGTTTTGAGAATTCAGTTTAAAAAACTCTTTCTGGTGCCAGATGTGGCCATTGAACTTTTAAGACAAATGGTCAGCAGAATCGTGATCAGGGAAGGATGAATATGAAATACTGCTGGAGGCAGAGTATAATAAGAAAAAGAACTGCTGATTGCTCAGAACTTGGAACTGCTGCCATGCAAAGTCACATGTCACTTAGTGACTAGGATAGGTTCTGAGAAATGCATCCCTACGTGATTTTGTTGTTGTGCCAACATTGCAGAATTTACTTCTACAAAATAAGATGGCCATGGTATCACTAGATGATATAATCTTATGAGACCATCCTTGTGCATGCAGTCTGCTGTTGACCAAAACTTTGTTATGTGGTACATGACTTTGTTAGTCTGTGCTTGAAATTGTGGTATGGGGAAATAGCCATAGATTGGGTGTAAGACTATCTGGATTTGAATCCGTTCCTGGAGAAATCATCCAACCTCAAGTTGAAAAATAGGAATTGTAGTAGTACCTCCCCACCCAGCTCAAACGCTTCTTATGAAGATGTCAGTAGAAAAAAAAATTTTAGACTGTGACTGCACAGATCTTCCAGTTGTTCAGATCCCTGCTTCTCTGCCTCTCTCAGGGTGAACCTACCGTCTGTTAAATTAGGAAGGTTAACTTGGGTGATTGTGATGGTCTTTCCTATTTCTCTTTCCATGGATGCGTGTGTGTGTGTGTGTGTGTTTGTCTGAGAGAGAGAGAGGAGGGGAGAGAGAGAGAAAGAAAGAAAGAAAAAGAAAAAGCTCTCATATACTGGTTCAGTCTCCAAATGCCTTCCGTGGCCAGGGTTTGGCTGGGGCTAGAACCAGGAGCCAGGAGCCAGGAACTCTATCCAGGTTTCCCATGTGGATGTTAGGGACCCAATTACTTGGGCCATCACTACTGCCTCCTATGGTCTGCAATTGCAGGAAACAGGGGCCAGAGCCAGGAATCAAACCCAGACACTTGGATATGGGACAAGGGCATGTTAACTGCTAGGCTAAATACTCTTGGAGATCTGGCATGTAGCATTCCTTAGTTTATACCAGGCTGCCTGGGGGCCCCAGGCTATGATATTCTCTTGCTCAATTTATTCCCTCTCTCCTTCCATGGACTGCTCCATGCAGTATACGCTTATGAATTTGCTAGTTTCTTCTCTCAAAGAACTTCTGACTACTGCCATTTCTGTGTTTGAAACATTCTCATAAGCCTATAAAATCAGTGGAGTGTACACTATTATCCACATCTTGAGACTCAGAGAGTATTATGTTTGAATGTGTTCCCCTAATCAGGCATTGAAAAGTTAATCCCCAATGCAACCGTGTTGGGAAGTGGGGCCCAATGGGAGGTGCTTATGTCATGAGGGCTTCACCCTGATCAGTGGCTTAATGCTGGTTATAAAAGGGTTTTAGGACTTGCGCTGTGAGTTCTATCTCTTGCTCTCTCTCTCTCTCTCTCTCATCTCTTTGCCCTTCTGCAGTGGGGTGGTGAAGCTAGATGGCCATCACTAGGTGAGCCTGTCTTGAATTTCCCAGCCTCCAGAGCCATGAACTTCATAAACTTATATTGTTTGTAAAATGTTCAGTTTGTGATATTCTGTTATAGTAGCAGAAAATGGACCAAGACATTGACTTAAGATAAAGTAGAAAATCTGAATAAACCTACAACAAGTAAAGCGGCTCAATTAGTAATCAAAAAACTCCCCACAAAGAAAAGCTCAAAATCCAGTGGCTGGACTGGTGAATTCTACCAAACATTTAAAGAAGAATTAATACCGGCCGGCGCCGTGGCTCAATAGGCTAATCCTCCGCCTGCGGCGCCGGCACACTGGGTTCTAGTCCCGGCCTGGGTGCTGGATTCTGTCCCGGTTGCCCCTCTTCCAGGCCAGCTCTCTGCTGTGGCCAGGGAGTGCAGTGGAGGATGGCCCAGGTCCTTGGGCCCTGCACCCCATGGGAGACCAGGATAAGTACCTGGCGCCTGCCATCGGATCAGCGCGGTGCGCCGGGCTGCAGCGCGCTGGCCACGGCGGCCATTGGAGGGTGAACCAACAGCAAAGGAAGACCTTTCTCTCTGTCTCTCTCTCTCACTGTCCACTCTGCCTGTAAAAAAAAAAAAAAAATTAATACCAATTCTTCACAAACTCTTCAAGAAAATAGAAGTGGAACGCTTATCAGTTCATTTTGTGAGATCAGTGTTACCTTAATCCCAATGCCAGACCAAGATACACAAGAAAAGGATAGTTCAATATCTTATAATTATAGACATAAAAAATCCTCAACAAAATTCTAGAACCAAATCCAGAAACATATAAAAAGGATTATACACCATGATCAAGTGGGATTTAACTCAGGAATGAAAGGTTAATAGCCAAAACTCAGTTGATGTATATACCATATCAATAGATTAAAGATCACATAGTCATCTCAGTAGAGCCAGTAAAAGCATTTGATGAAATTTGACACCTTTTTATGATTAAAAAAAGAACCTACTAGAAATTGTGGGCATTTCTCCAACTTGATAAAGAGTATTTGATCTCCAACTTGATAAAGAGTATTTATGAAAAACCCACAGCTAACATAATAACGTTGAATTACTGGACACTTACCTCTTGAGATCAGAAACAAGACTAAGATATCTTCCCTCACAACTTCTAATCAATATTGCATTGTTTGAGGAAGCTGAAATAAAAGACATCCACGTTGGAAAGGAAGAAGTAAAACCTTTGCATTTCCAGGTGAAATTATCTTGTATATAGACAATCCTGAGTCATCCGCTAAAAAAAACTATTAGAACTAATAATGAGTTCATCAAGTTTCCTGGTGTAAGATCAGTATGCAAAATAAACTATTTCTAAGCACAAATAATGAACAATCAGAAAACTAAATTAAGAAAGCAATTCAATTTACAATAGCATAAACATGAATAAAATACTCAAGAATGAATTTAATAAAATAAGTGCAAATATATATGCTCCAAGAACTAGAAATCATTGTGTGTGTGTTTTTTTTAATCATTGTTTAAAAAAATTAAACAAGGCCTAAATAAATAGAATGATATCCCTTGTTCCTGGATGACTTAAGATAACAGTAATTCATAAGTTGTTTGATAGTGGCTCCAGCCTGAGGCGCATATACTGATTTCCTAAGTGAAAATTACTTTTCCTTGTGCAGGCCTATTTTAATTGGGTTTATTATTTTTTTAAGATTTTTTATTTATTTATTTGAAAGTCAGAGAGTTACACAGAGAGAAGAGAGGCAGAGAGAGAGAGAGGTCTTCCATCAGCTGGTTTACTCCCCAGTTGGCCGCAATGGCCGGAGCTGTGCCGATCCAAAGCCCGGAGCCAGGAGTTTCTTCCGGGTCTCCCACGTGAGTGCAGGGGCCCAAGGACTTGGGCCATCTTCTGCTGCTTTCCTAGGCCATAGCAGAGAGCTGGATTGGGAGAGGAACAGCTGGGTTTCGAACTGGCACCCATATAGGATGCTGGCGCTTCAGGCCAGGGCTTTAACCGGCTGTGCCACAACGCAGGCCCCTGGGTTTATTCTTGTGATTCAATGTGCATAATAGGCTGTGTGCTTTTTGTTATTGTTGGATAGTGATTCAATGATATATTGTTGGGTAGTAAAGTCCCTAAAAACTTAGTGGATTAAAACAGCAGTCATTTAATTTTATCTAGTGATTGCCTCAAGTGATTGTAGTCAGGTTGCTGCTGGGACTGGAGCTGGGTCTGTGTGGCCAGCACCAGGTGCTCCTCCATGTGGTCTCTGTGGGGTGTCGCCTCATCTTCCAGGGCTCCAGGATGGCGAGGACCTTTCTGTAGTAGAGTAGTCTGCACTTCTTACCTGCAAGTCCAGCTTTCTGAGAGGGAGTAAGCAAATGCTGCCAGGATGTCCTGATGCTTTGGCTCAAAGTCCCATTAAGTCAGTGCTCCAAAGTTCTGTTGGCCCAGCCATGACTCCAGGGGAGGGACATGAACTCCAACTCAATGGGAGGAGCAGCATGCACACCAGGGGAGGG